ATAAACAAATAAGGATGTGTGTCAACCTGTCCGAAGAAAATTGCCTGTTTTAACCCTAAAAGTGCGTAATTTTTTTTTTTTAAAGTACAGGATATTACATGTAAATTATGGAATCACACACATTAAGGGGCCTGCCAGTGTCAGTACATGTAATCGGTTTGGGTGGAACGTACGCTCTAACATAAAACATTTAAATCTCTCTATATATACATGTTATATTTAGAATCTAATGAAGGAAGGAACATCAAATTAAATGATGTTACACTATGCAACATCCCGCCCCCCCTCCTTTCCCCACAAAAAAATGGTAGAAAAACAACACATCAGAACAGTAACGAGAAAAAAATTACACACTAACAAAATAAAACACCACAAAGAGTCAAAGAGGGAAAATAAAAGTAACTGTAACGTATTCAACAAATCAACGTGGGGACAACAAGTGAGAGACTAAGTCACACTTACTAAGTGAAGCTAAGTGAACTTTCTTTCAAAAGTAAAGAGGTTTCGGTTTCTTTCTTTTTTGACAAACGCAGAAGCTAGTTCTATGTGTCATTATCAATAACCCTCCGTAGATCTAGATCTAGACAGCACACGAGTGAACACAACACATTAAGTTTAAGAGCAGCACCCTTCATAGGCAACACGTCATATCTGTAGTAGCGAAAAACTGTTTGGAACTGTAGCATTTCTTTATAAATATTTACTGCGGACTTTTTTAGACCGATTGAACCATATTGTATACGAACAATCTTTGGTAGGCCTATACTCTATATAATATCCGAAATTTGCGGGAAAGGATGTGATTTCAGAGTGTTCGGAGAAATAGTGCCCAGCTTTATTTTCCCGAACGTTCGGAGAAATAGTGTCGGCCTTAATAAAATCCCCCACCCCCTCACCTCCTTGCCCTTTCCTCCGGGCTCCTGACTCTTTCTGCAGCCAACTGTCTCAGACAGACACACACACACACACACACAACGTAATCAATCAGCTGCAGTGAGATAGTGAGTTTTAGCAGACATCTAAGGTTATATTTGCTAGTGACCCCTTGTAACCTCTGCCCCCCCCCCCCCCCCCCCCTCTCTGTACATGTATAGCCTAGGACTAGAGCCTATTATACCTCTAGTTTCTTGCCCTGGCATTAGACGCGGGGAAGTGAACAACCCCATCCCAAGCGTATTCATTCACTCTAACTTTAAAATAAACAAAAATGGTTAAATACCCCGTTTCTACCGAGGTCTAGAACAAGACTACTCAGTCTTGCTTTAAGCCCAGTCTATAAAACTGGGAGCGCTCCACTATCACTGACTGTTTGCACAACAGATTAAAGTACAAATCAAACACTTGTGTGACATTATCATAAAGTTAAGTAGGTCTACCCCACACTACAGTCCAGTAACTTGGGTTACTGGTAAAACTTGAGTAACGATTGATTTTGATAGTCTACAAATGATAAATGATAGGCCTCCTGAATTCTAAATCCAACCTTTTTATAAATATTTATCTATATCTAGATCTAGATCTAGATCTAATCTACGTTCGTCTGTTCTGGGTCAAGATAAAAAACTCAAGTTAGAATCAAGAGACGGATGAAAGAAACGCAGTACAGTAGGCCTAGATCTAGAATCTAGATCTATGGATAGCTCGTACTCGAACTGAAATAGAAAATTTAATTTTGGCTACGTGCCTTACCTCTTTTTGCCTTGTAATATTAGAATTTATCTTTGTTTCTCAGGATAGAATTCCTTTGATATTCTGCAGAGTCTGAATGGATTGAACACAGCTGTTATCTACATTTCCCGAGAGCGGACAATCTCTTGTAATGAGTTTACCAGGATACAAGCTAAAACGTAGTTTAGCACAGCAGGCAGTTAATTGAATAGGTGATTTCCCTCAGTGACATGACATAGACCTTTCACAGCTGATTTCGTTGTTCTACTTTTACGTGTAGCAAAGCTCCGTAAAACCCCGATACTTCCCGAAGAGAACCTGACCGAGGGTTGTTGTTTTTGTCATGTGACGCTTTTGTGTCAAAGGCCAAAGGTCGAATTGAGCTCAGTTCAGGGTCCGGGTCTGCTAACTGTTTCACAACAACTGACCTGTGACTGGAAGTAGGCCTGGAGCCAGTTACTCAGCACTTTTCTGATCCATTATAGTTTTACTTGCGCGACTGCAAACTGTTGGAGAGATATTTTCCATCTCAGACTACACCATGGCTTCCTTTCGAACACTTTCTGCTGTTAGATCTTCTGTCATTGCCAAAGGTACAGTGCTCATACTCATAGAATAAGTTTTGTGTTGAATTTGAATCACCGTAGGCTGTAGGCTACGCCGCCGTAGGGCCTAGCATGTTTTCGACTGAACGTGGGAAGTTGTTGGACCGGCACTGCTAGATATGTAGAATCTAGTCAGTCGCTGAGTCAGTAGATTCTAGATTTCTATTGAAGAAGGAAAATATCTAGATTCTAGATCTAGAGGCCTACTGATACTGCCTCCCAAGTTGAAGTATAGATTCTAAGACCATGCCGCATGCCTGTCGTGCTTTGAAGGCGATGTTACATTTTATGATACATGATTGTCGTGGTGGGGTGGTCGGAGTGGTCGGTCATTCAATGTTACTTTGTCATTGTTAGTACCATATTGTGAAGCTGATACTGATATGAGATTTTTACGGAGGAATAAAAAGTAAAAAGGGTGAGGGAGAAGAAGAGGGGGAAGGACATCCGTAACAGCAACCACCCCAACAAACAGCAAAAAAGAGGCCTAACCGTGACCTCAACTACTTTAACCAAGCCCTAACCCTAGGGCGTAGGCTAACCCGAATACACCAGTCATTTTGTCTCATGGTCATTTCGTCACACTGGTGCAGTCAAGACGTCAGTCATCTCGACACACCCCAAATTCACAAGGTTGAATGGAGACGGTCTTTTGTAGCACACTTGCCGGCGCTTTTTCGGTAGTTCCCACCCCGCAATTGTTATTCACGGGTTTTGGCCCCAAGAGTAGGGGTTTCAGGGGGGCTTGCCCCCCTGACCTAAAAAAAATGGCCACCTCTATTCTCTTGAGAATAGTGCAGGCGAGTCTTTTGGCTATTCTCACCCGGTGCGCGTTATAGCCTAGATCTAGGCCAACAAATTTTGCGTTCACCCTAAACCACAGAATTCTACACTGTGATAACAGAAAAATTATAGAATTCTGTGCCATGAACAAACGTTCCATTACAACTGTAGCCTACTAAAAGCGTACAATTTTGTCTGTGGGCAGTGGAGAGAGAGAGAGAGAGAGAAAGAGAGAGAGAGGAGTAGCGGGAGAACTTCCGGTCAAAACAAAATGGCGACCCGCGTAGTTCGGCTCGATTCGAACAGTGAAATAGCCATAGCATCTTTGAAGACGATCAAATTAGCTTACTTTTGTGCTATAACGTAATTTTTTCTTGGCTTTTTATCAATTTGATCATCCACACCGACAGACAGTATTCCAAAATGAGGAAAAGCAGGTCTTGTTTCGCACCGGGTGAGAATAGCCTACGCTGGCAAGTCTCACCCGGGGTGAGAGGTAGATCGTTTTTCTATTCTCACCCCGGATGAGAATAGTCACTTCCAAAAAAAATAGGAAGGGGGGTTTCAGGGGGGCATGCCCCCCTGAATTTTACCATAATTTAATGTTTTGCTGTTGTTAGGTTTGATATCTTAGCTCACCGCGAATCAAACGTTAGAGATCTAGAATCTAGATGTAGGTCAGGCTCAAATAAGGGGGGTGGGAACTACCGAAAAAGCACCCACTTGCCAACATCAAACGCGCCTTGTCGTGGCAATTGCAAATCATGATTTTTGGGGGAGGGTTGGGGTGTGTGCAGTGTGTCGTTGTGCTTACCTGATCAGATATAAATACCGTTCATTCATATCATGGAGGCCGGCCCATTGACGATATTGAAATCTATCAAGTCAGATCAACAACATTTTAAATGGCAAGATCATAATATTAGTTTTAGAAATAAAATAGCTAAATAGATCTAGAAATGTTTGGTACGGCAATTTTGCTAACAGCTAGACTCTTACTTTCAAATAAAGCCTTACTTTTACTCTTTATCACACATGTATAATTGTTTTTTGCTGTATTTAAAAAACTATGGTTCAGCTACGAAGATTTAATGTACATTAATAATTTTTATTTAAAACTTTAAAAAAAAGTTTTAGGCTGATCCTCCTTAAGACTCTACTAGCATATTATTATATATTTATACTGTTTTGGAGAGAGATATATATAAGCGAAGTCCTTTCGTCACACATAATTGGGGTGTGACGAGATGACCGTGTGACGAAATGACCGGTTACCGCTAACCCTAAATAAAAAATGGCAGCTGTTATTCGGACTCGAGTCTGAATAGTCTCCCTTGGCTATTCGGACTCAAACTCCAATGCGTGTACCAGATGTGAAGTGGACAGGCAATTCAACCCTGGCCTTCCTCGGTTTCTACGATATGGCCAAATTTTCGACACAAATTAAGAAAAGTATTCGTGACGTCAAAAGTGAACAACGGTTGCAAAATCTGAAACATTACTCAACAAAGGCAAACAGGGAAACAGAAATCTTTGCTCACTCAAAGCAGTGAAAAATATTGAAAATCGAAGTTTCAGAACAACAAAGGATTATAAATATTGGTAGGCTAGTCTAAACCCGCTTTATTTGACGAGGAAGACAAAATCATGGATCAATTGGAAGTCCAGTTATAGAAATTAAGAAGAGAAAAGTCAATACCTTTCCAAAGGGAACAAAAGTCAGTCATTCAAAGTAACACACTTTGGAGTTTGAGTCCGAATAGCCATGGGAGGCTGGTCAGACTCATAGAGCTACATAGCCTTGTCATAGTGGTCACTCCCGATAGAATTCCTCCTAAAGACGAAGGGAGTGTATCAATGAACACCAGATGCTAGGTGGTTGCTCAGAAACTGGAAAGTAGACCCATCTGTTAGCTTTCTTAGCTTTTGTGGCCAGTTGGCCTTCAATTGAGGTTCTGTTTATACAATACAACATCTCTACCTTCGAAAGAGGATCATAATGCATTGTAAGAATTTTTTAAATGGAAAAGAACGATAGTTTTACCATACTCAGGAATATACTCTAATCTGTACAAATTACTCGAGCTTGAGATGATAAATGAAGAAATGAAATGAACGAATATTGCTCACCGTCACTGCCAATTTTGCTACAATAATTGAAATATGAGCGGTGGAAAAGTTTTATAATGTCCCTTGCTTTTGTGGCTGTGACGGTTAATAAGTTGTACTTAGGATGAGTCAATCTGTTTTTCAGTTTTCACTTCCCTGACGACATCTGCTCATACATTATTTAGGAAAGTACAAAGAATTTCTGGGATTGTTTGATCCAAGGGAACCTTTCAGAGATACAGCTGTTATAGCTGTAAAATTTTTTTAACTCACTAACTTGAGAGGTCCGCATAAAAAAGAAAAAAGAATAAAAAGGAACAAAGAATTGCTCCTCTGCAAGGAAGAAGTTGTTGCTGAGAAGAGTCATCAGAATGTAAAAAAGCTAAAAAAGCAAAGTTCACAGAATCTGTCATCTGTTGCCATTTGCTGTCTTTTTAAACGATTTTCTTCTGTATCAAATTTATGGACACACATATAAACTCAGAGCCAAAGTATAGTTTTAATTAGTGATTAATCTTTAGAGAAAATATAATGAGTTGTTAGAATTTGATACGTAGACAAGATCTCTTGGACTTACCTTTCTTCTGCGGCAGAACACGTGTTCAACACTTGTTCAGAAAACACATTTAGCCTACAAAGCCACTCAAAGGGTTACTTGTGTAAATGAGAGTTCATCACCCAAAGTTTTGCATAAAAAGCAAAACATTTATCAAACAGGTCAAATTTGTTCAGCTCAAGATAGCTCTGTTGATAACTTATCTACCTTCCGCGGTGTCGTTCAACGTTCAGGAGCCCTTCAATTTAGTCAAGGTTACGCTCATGTTACTATGCCACGTGTAGACGTATGCATTTTGTCTTGATTACTGTCAACCTGTTGTGTTCAGGGGGCTCTTGTGGTCTGGAGGTTAAGGTGTTCACCTCTCCTGCAATAGGTTCCGGGTTTGAATCCGGATAGCGACTGGCGACGGAAGATTTTCTTTCCTAAAATGTTCTCCTTTCACATCCTTTCCTGCTCTCCAGCAATGTTCTGTCGTCTGCTTTCGCCTCTACTTTCTGCCCACACCCCCTCACCTCCTCAGGGTTCCTGACTCTTTTTACTGTCTTTCTACTGCTACTCCTTGGCTCCTTCTTACTGCTGTCATTCAGCCACACCCCTGATCTTATGGTAAGAAAGATCTATCCCTAGCCTTCTTGGATAATGGCGAAAAATCTTGGAGGTCCCGTGAGCAAGTTGCGCACGTTAAAGATCCCGTGATGGTCCACAATCGGTAAGAGTAGGCTTCGGCCGTTACCCGGACAAAATTTTAAACTTTCTACCGACTGAAAATGTTTATTGTGCTCCGCACGCTAATATGACCTTATGCAGTTGCGAACGCTGTAAAACACTTACGAGAAAAGGAAAATAAGGTTGTGTACATGTATTGTTACATGCTCCTGTTTTGAAGACTTTAGACCACAGCAGTTAGACATTTCAGTGTGGTTATGCAAGAGATCTGGTTGACATTCCTGAGTAGTGAGAAATTTGTACCGAGTGTCTTGGTCTTTCTGCTATGATGTTTGTCCCTCCCTCTATGCCCAGGTTGGTGATGACAGGCAAAGTCTGAAGCCTGCTGCCTCCTGAATGATCAAAATTATGTCAGTGGCAAAAATACACGAATTTATAATTAAAAGATAAGACTTTTTGTTTTAATTTCTGGTAAATTCATGTTTCTGCCTGAACTTTGGAACATTTAACATCATCTTGGTATAGAAAGTCTTTGCTGTAAGTACAACAAGAAAAAACGAAAAGTTGATGGAGACTTGAGTATTTCTGGATTGGAAGTTTTATGACATTCTAAAATATTTTGGATGTTTCACCTTCAGGGTGCAATGATCTTATCATAAGAAGTAACCCAGCTGTTGCAAGGTTGTTGAACCTTTTAAAATTATTGTAATTAATTAGAAAAAAAATAGGATAGATTACAACCAATGCCGCTGCAGTCTACCAGGTCTTGAAAAACGATTCTTTTTTTGTTATTGTATCCCTCTTCTCTGGTACACATTTCAATAATTTATAAATTAACAGTGCATATATGGTTCTTTTCCATTTTTATGAAGTACAATTTTATTGTAGAACTGATGCAATGTTGGAATAGTTGATGTTTTTTTGTTCTGAAGGAGAATTCATTATAAAAAACAGTTGCATATTAATATTTAAATTTTAGAATATATATCTGTCAGTTTCATAATTTCTGTATCATCCTTTAGGCAAAAATATTTAGTACTTTTCTTGAACAAAATATTACCCAATCCCCACTTCTGTTCAGGACAAAAGTTGTTGGTGAAGCACTATGCACAATTTAAAGCTAAAGGCAAATGTATTTGCAAACATGCAAATTCATGAGGTTGGGCACGTTCACATGCTGAATTGA